GACTAGGCGATGGTTCTATAACTACTCTCCCTGTTCCAAGTTACTACCTAACAAATGCCTATGGGCTGACTTTGAAAGAAAATACGCTGTATTGGAGCACCTCCGGATCCATTTATGCGGCAGACAAAAAGACGGGCGGTAACGTGCGTCGTTTAGTGAGGAATATGGCGAGTCCTCGAGATGTTCACGCATATCATAACTATTCAGCAATTCCAGGTAAGAAGAAGGATTACTTTTAGTCCATTTCAGAGAATTTCCAGTTCCATTTAAACTTTCCAGCCCAACTTAGATTGCAATCAATTTAATACGTTTGGTCTTTTAAAACGAACACATCTCCCATATTTGAAGCAAGTGAGCTACGAAATCTAAAATTAGTTCAATCAGATATTGAGTGTTCCAATTACTAAAGCGCCGTGTTTGTTTTATGATCACCTTGTTTTACTGTCTTGAGAAATTTAATCCTTTTGATCAGACGAGTTGTCGGTATGTATTTCCTTAATTACACAATGGCAAATCTAAACCAATCTCTAGCTTGATCGATGCTTTCTTTCGTGAACGCTGAACCATTTTTCTGTTCTGTTTCAGGTGATCACCCTTGCTCTTTGTTCAATGGATGGTGCACACATCTTTGTCTGTTGAAACCAGGAGGGTATCAGTGTGCGTGTCCAACTGACACCGGAGGTATTCCCTGCAAGACTACACCTGTTATTCCACCTTCGTCTTCATTATCCTCTTTGCCTTCGCGGTCGCCGTCGCCATCGCCATCATCATCGCCATTATTAAAATCGTCTTTCTCATCTACGTCACCTTCCATATTACCTTCTTCAACATCGTCAAAGTCACCACCACAATTAGCTTCTCCATCTTCATCATCATTGCAAACGCAAAAGTGGTCGTCTTTGCCGTCACCATCAGTTTTTATATTACCCTTAACTTTATTGCATACCTTACCACGAGAATCACCATCGTATCTTTCCCCAACATCATCATCTCCGCTGTCAACATCCCTTGTATCATCATCACATACTTCCGTGATACCAACTTTACAACCCCCGGTTGATGCTTGTATGTCAAATCCATGTAAAAATGGCGGTACATGTCTCAAGGGAAATAAGGGCAGCTATACCTGTCGGTGTTCCCAAGGATATACATGGCCTCATTGCGAGCTTTATATTGGTGAGTGTTAGCTACTGAGAGATTTTAGTCAAAACAAAAGTCCCCAGGTTTCCTTCGGATTAAGATTATATTTTATCAAATTTTATGGACAACTGGTAGACTTATACTAAACGAATTATTTGTGACAATAAAGTTTATCCCTTAAAAAGGCAATTCCACAGTAATGTTTTAGACATGACAACTTACAGAAATTTTGCTGTTATACAGCCCCCTTAACTTGCAGCAACTTCCGTTGTGATTTGAAACAAACCGTAAAATTAGCAAAACCATTCCTTAAAATGAACCTCAACTCTATTCCTAATTAATCAAAAAATATATATATATATATCTCAGGCTACTTGAGTTCCAAGAAACGTAGAAGGAGAGAAGTGAAATGAGGAAATTTGTCAATAGTCAAGATTTAGTGCATGGGTAAATCTTTAAATGTCGTCCAACCCGGCCAGAAATCTATGTAACGATTCCTTTCCTTTCATATGTCTCTATTTGCAGCCGACAATAATGTGAGTATAGCATTCGAAATGAAGACAGCTCAAGTAAGTGTTAAGCAATTTTTTTTTGTTCATGTCACCTTTGAAATCCCGAAAATTGATATTATGTGACGATGTCTCTGCGTTAATGATTTGAATGACAATGTTTCTAGAGATGACAAATGATAATGACTTTGCGCCATTTACTCGAATGACTGTTACTACAGATAACCGATAAACGGAGGGTCACGCAAATTTGACAGACGTCGTGAAAAAGATTGACCAGGGCGGCGGACTTTTATTTACCTAACTTGAAACCAACAGACACGGACAATTTTGGTTTTTTCAACTGAGTTGATAATGTACATTGGCCACCGTAAAGAGTATCAAAGCTGAAGTTCGAGCGTTAGCCCTTCGTCGGAGCTACTCAGTCAGTTGATAAAACCAAGTTTACCTTGTTACTACCACCGACGCAGCACCACAGTTTCTTTGGAAACTTACCCCCTTTAGACACGCAGACCGACTGGCAGAAATGCAATGGAGTGTAGAATGATATCTGATCTCAACTAAGATTCTTTTAATTTCTTTTTTTTTTTTATTCAAGTGGAATCAAGATACTTTTAGGAAGAGCATTGCAAAAGCATTTACTGAGTACTGTACAGGAGACCAACGCCCTTGTAAACTTCACAAAAGGTATTGGCAATACATCACATCAACTGATAACCAACCTTGAATGGACACGAGTTAAAAAGTACAGAATAGCAAGAAGTTAGACTGAAAGTTATGGTGCTTTTGAAAGATCTCAATTGTGGGCACTGATGTTAAGGAGTCTGCACTTGAATCGATGGTACACGTGACTGAGACGACAGAGAGAGAGAGAGAGAGTGAGAGAGAGAGAGAGAGAGAGAGAGAGAGAGAGAGAGAGAGAAAGAGAGGGAGGGAGGGAGGGGGGGTAGGGTTAGGTTTAGAAGAGATCTCCTCCCTATGCAGCGATGTTGTGCGATTCGAAGCTCAATACGTTTTTACTGAAGCATAATGATGTAAGCAGTAATTCACATTAACGTTTTAAATTCCCTTATTTATTAGGCTGAACGAAATCACAACCCGATCGGCATCAACCCATGACGATATCAATGTTTTCCGTCCTGAGGACGTGTTAGTACTCGGCAGGCACTCTGGAGGACATCAACGCTTATTTAGCATCGTCCTAGCAGTGCTGGTACCTGAAGAAGAACAACACCAATCATCTCCAAGACAAACCATCTCAGCTGCTCTTCTTTGTCAAATGGTAGTAAAAACGTCAAAACTTATTTCAGAATATATGGATAACGTTGAAATAGTCTTGATCAATGGTGAAAAGGAGCCATCTTGTGCATCTAACCCAGGGGAAGATGGTGAAAACGAGAGCCAAAACGAAAAAATCACCGGGAGTAAAGAAAGAAACGTGGATGGTCAACATGAAGAAAGGTTATCTTCCGGTGCTACGGCTGGAATTGTATTGGGCATTATTGTAGTTATCATTTTCGGAGGTGCTGTCTTTGTGGCTGTTAGGTGAGTACTAAACTTTCGTGAGTTATATTTCTTTTTAGACGATGAAAAGCGCACAAGGACAAACATCAGAGCTTACATTACAAGTTCATCTATAGACTCTAAAATAAGAAATCTGACGCAATGATTAACCATAGCCAGTTTTAGGATTATGGCCTCCTAACTGAGTGTTTTAAACCTTAAGTAAAAAAAGTCTAAACCAATCTTATGTCTATTTTAACCCATCAACTGGGTCCACAATTGAAAGGACGTGCTAGTCATAATCCCCTTTCAGTGAAAATCAAGCGACACGAGAATGATAAAAATAGCTAGATCATATTGGTAAATAAGTTTGAAGATATTCCTTGTACAATAAATCAGGCCATGTCAAAAGAAAGCTTTTTCTTATTCGATTGACTAAGAAATCCTTCATTAGACGAGATGTGACAACTTTGGTTGTGGGCTTTATAAAATTACCATTGAGATCGAAAATTAATTTTGTTTCATTTAACTCAAAGAATTACTTCAATACTATGGCACTGTTTTAATATATTTTTTTATTTTAAAAAGGTCACGCGGAAAGGCGCTTCAGATTTTTAAAACTCCTTTCACAACTTCATTCAACAACCCTGGCTTCGAGCCTTATCATTCCGATCTTAACGACGATAACTCAGGAGGAGCTTCCTTCAGTATTCCAGAACCATACGAAGTAGCAAGAGTTCCATCTTCAAATTGCGAAAGACAGTTTCAGAACCTAAAAAAATCTTTTTACAAGCAAGAGACTGCGAATCCTCTTTATTCCGCAAAATGCAAAGAGGACGATTCCCAAAGCTCGGCTGCCAATCCAATTTATGACTTTATTACAGAGCAACCGAGAAGTGGGGATCCAAAGGGAGCAAGCACTGAATCTAATTATGTAAGCTTGGCCAAACAAGAAATGCATCGCGATGGCAACCGAAATGAGGAACCACTGTATGCTCAGCCATGTAAAGTGGAACTTCGCTCAGCATGTGGGTCTAAATCTCTTGAAGCGCAAAATGGCAACCCTTACGCCCGGCTTGGCAGTGGCAGTTGTTCTCAGCAGCCCAGGTACGGACCAGTTGGTCCTTCCAGTCCAATTATCCACCAAGACAACAACAAAGGTGTTGGTCCTCGCAAGGGTATTTTCTCGGAGGATCATTTTTGGCCTGGAAATACTGTGCACCCCGAAAATTCCAAAAGCCATGACGAAAAACCAGTGGCAGATGTCAGCCGACCGAGGCCAAGGAATACTGGTTACCCAGCAAACCGCCTGGCAGATGAGAATTGCAGTAAAGAGAAGATAAATGATAAAGAGGAAGCCTTGAGTACAACTTCAAGGGACAACGAAACGCCTGTCTTACATCTTCCTACTGAGCTTGGTCCTGAAGAGACCACTATCTGAGGGTCTTCAAAATTTACCGAACTATTTTGAAAGACTCCAATCGACAAACGCGCCAACAGTGAAAATGACGTTTTTAGACTTAGAGTAATCTACATAAAGTTTATTAGTCGCAAGTTATGCCACATTTCAAGATTTAGCAATTTTTACGAATATTCTTTTCTCATGAAAATTTATAGTCATTGATTAATTAGTGTATTCACTGATAAATTTCAATACTACAATACCATAGTTTTGTGTTCCGCTTTCATGTTTGTTGTTTGTTCGACAAAGTAGGTATATACTATCAATAATAGGTCATTAATTATAATCTTCGATTCAGCTGCTTCTCGTTCTGAAATTTGAAGGATCACTTTTATACTGATGCACAGAATATATATATATATATATATATATATATATATATATAT